TACTGTCTTCTGTCCTATTGTTAATCCAATTATTATCTATTGTTTTCCTTTTTACAATTTGGAAGTTCATCTTTTCGTGGGGTTTCTTCGAATTGTTATTGGACCATTTTTCAATTCTTTTTTCTCTTTTCAAGGGCTTTCCAATCTCTTAATTTAAACAAAAACATGGGGAATATCTCGAATGAAAAATGAGAACTCGAACATAGCGGATATCTCGAACGGATGAAGAAAGTAAGGCGGGTTTCATGAGTACCAGCCTAACAAAAGAGAATTGAATACCATAATTCTATGAAACATGAATAAATGAATCATAATTGTCCAAATCATTTAGGTCAGAGGAAAATAGAATAATTCTACCTTCTTAATATTGCGATTACGAAGGTTTTCTTCGAACAAAATTGATGAGAATTAATAGCTGGAATTATGAGATTATCTCACATTTTTGACGTTAAGGATAGGAGAATCTGAATGCAATATAGTGAAAATGATGATCGATTTTTTCACTTTGAACAAATAATATTAATATCCAAATACAAAATTTCTGATATGAATAAAAAGAAGCTGTGACTCAATATTCCAAATGAAGTTTTAATTTTTAATTTGGTGCTGAAAACACGAGATGACAATATTCTATGCACGGAATTATATTGATGAGATGAACAACAGATTAATTGAATTACCGTGTGAACAAACTAAAAATTGAATATCAACAGACATTGAATTCCAGAAATTCACACTCTAAAGTGTGTTCTAGAAGGAATTGAATTGTAATTATCATTAAAATCTTATTCAGTGAGATTAGGAATTAGAACATGAGCAAATCATTTATTGTAATATGAAAATTCAGCAGCCGATAAATTGAGACATGTGATTCTCATCGGTCGTATGGTTTTTTGCAATGAGAATGATTATAAACAATTAATTGAAAAAAGGAATATCGAATCCGACAGGAAAAAGGGCATAATGAATGGGCTCTAGTGAGGAATTGAATTTTCTCCAGGGGGAGAAGTGAGAGATGTCTTCCGAAAAATGACTAATTAATTCACAATAATGTGCGCATGATATTTGCAACACCAGTGTATCGGTCTGTATGAATTTCTGTCTGAAAATTGTTTATAGTGTTTTTTTGCCAATAACAAGTTTTCTTTCAGTTCTCACAACATTGTTGATTATTATTGTCCAAAACATGATGAGATTTTGTTCCGAAATGGCACAAAAGGTTCGATATAGCATGTTTCAAAAAAAAAATTCTAATTTTGTTTTTTTTTGCGGGATTGGCACATTCTATTAATGTTATTTAAGGATTGTGTTTCATTGTTCCATTTGAGATACGATAAACTGCACTTTTTGTGTGCACGAGGGACGCGGAATGTGTCAACACCAATTCTGTTTAGCAGCCTGAAGAATGAATACATGAATGAGAAAGAAAATTCTAGTTCGTTGTCAATAAGCTCAATAAGTAAATCTTGACATACGTTCGACGGTTTCTTGATGAGTGAATTATTTCTGTTGACAAAAAATTATTGAAAATCACTCCGTTCTGAGGCTCTCTAGGTATATGTAAGACCTTAAAAAGGAAAAAATGCAGTCATCGACTCATTTTTTCTCCAATAACAATTTGCAAACCATCATTTCATTTTCACGTATTTAATCCCCTTCAAAACATCAACATAACCTTTAATCAATAATCAATATTTCATTCGTCAGACTCACAGTCACCAAATGCTGTTTAAACTCCGGATAAATCTCCGCCAATTCCTTGAAATTTGGCTCAACTTTGTATTTATTCCGCGGATGCATGAACTTCCGCAGTGACATAATTCGATTTTCCACTGTCGCTTGTGTTTACAAAACTCGATGGGAGAAAAAAAAAAGTCTGCAACGGCATGTTGGTCAGGCGCCGGCGCGAGCTCTGATTGGCGGTCGCGGTGTGACGTAACCTGGGAATACCCCGAGGCGTCATGGTGATACTTTTCGAGAATCAAATATTGCAAGGATCATACCTGGCAAGGGTCAAGCGTCGCCAGTGTTATATTTACCTAAATTATCCTGATTTCTATCAATTTTTCATGGAATAATTGAACTCAAATTTACGGTTTCCATTAATGCTTGCGTAACATTTTGAATTTTCAACGAAAAAATTATTTGCTGTTTCAGTGGAGTTATAATGCAGTAAGATTTTCCAAGAAGTCCATCAGAAATTTCATCCAAAATTTTTTAGCAGTGCGACATAATTTGACTCTCGTACTTCAATCCGTGCCCTCCTCTGAGCCTCAAAAACATTTCAGATGAAAGTTGTAGGATATGGGGGGGGGGGAAACTTAGTGCAGATGCAATTGATGCTCCCATTGTTTATGTTTTTATATGCTGTGAGCATGAAGTCGGTTTTTTCAAATGACAACATCATTTTTGACCTCCTGACGTTGTGCAGTTGTCTCATTGAGACGAATTCAACCATATCCTCAGAGATAATAGGGATATCCTATTCTGAGATCCGATCAATTAACCCCTCATGTATAGATATTACAAATTTTTATTTTTTTCCTCATTGAAGTAGTTTTGAAGAAAATTGCGAGCTAATGAAAAACATTTGCTAGTTAGAACTTTTTTAAAAATAAATTTGTGAAAAATCACCCCTGAAAAAAAAGGCGTTATCCCCCCTATTTCATTATTTCCAAAAAATTTTATCACCAATCGGTAGCAAATTGTTTGAAGATTTTTGCGAGTTAAGAAAAAATCGTCAATGCACTCCTATTATTGTGTAAATTAACAATTCCAATTTCAACTGAAAACCAGAGTTGAT